TGAAACTTAGTCATTTCATATTAATGATTTTGGGAAAAAAAAAATTAAGCAATCCACAAATAAAAACAAATAAGACTAGCCATGCAATGAGGACAAAAATAATGGCGCCCTCTAAAAGGAGGAACCGTGTGTGTGTGTGTGTCTATTGTAGCTGACATGCTGCAGTGGCTGAGCTGCATTATTGGAAGATTTAGCACATGCTATGTTTAGGCGCTCTTTCACTGTTTAGTTGTCATTTTCTCTTTTTCAGCTCTGTGAGCTTTGCCTTTTTTGGAGTTTTGTGGGTGGCACTGAATGTAAATCGGCTGTGCTGTGAAAACACTTGGTAATCTGCGGCTCGTTGAAATTTATTTACGCATAGGAGTACGAAGAAAATCAGCGTTACTGAAAGTTTTGTGACTCTGGAGAGAAATGTTAAATTGCTTTGGGCTACGTAATCATTTATCTCAAAACAAAAGAGTAATATGCCACAGATTAATTGGTATGTTTGTTGTGGCTTTTTATTTATTTTAAAAGATTTGATAATAGTAATGCAATATAAGTGCATAGTAGTATTTGAACCAATTCGTAAAAGTGGAATGACAATGTGATTTTGGTGTAAATTAATGCTTTTGTTTTAAGGATGCTCTAGACATAAACAGAACTCAGTGTTTACTGTCAAATAAACATTATAATAAGCTTTACCTTGAATGCTGTTGTTCTTTACAAGCTGTGCACAATCGATCAGGACCTCTTTGGGTATGTCGTCTATCGTCTTTCCCTTTTATGGGAAAACAAAATTCATTAAAATACTATAAGAATGAGAAATCCAGAGCTTTATGCAGCGCTGTATAAATAAAAACTTTACCTTGGGCATTCTCAGGTATACGTGTGCCGAGGAGAGTTTATCCACGTGAAACCTGAAACACAAAGATTTGGGAGATCGTTGTTTATGCTTTATCGTCATTAAACTTATGGGCAGCCTTGAGTTCATTTAGGGTCATCTCCAAAATTATTGGCACCCTTCATGGAAACATGCACAAGCAATACAACATAGAAAATGAACAACACATGCAATGAGTTTAGGTTGAGTTTCAACAAATGGGGACACGGTAGTAACATTATTACCCTTTTTTTTTTTTTTTTTTTTAAAT